GTCTTGTATTATCGATATTGTATTCTAAATAAAGTATAATCTTTGCTCTTTCATTAACTTTGTAATGAACTACCACAGTAAAGTAATATTCTACTTGGACACCGTTAAGAGCTCCTCTTCCATGTCTTATATTACTTATATTGAATAAAGAAGGCCTACACTTGTAATAAGAGGATCAAACTTTATAAGGCTAGTAGAAAGCTTAACTAAAAGTCTTGTATATATTCTAAGTATAATAATAGAAGAGGCTAAAGAGAAAAACAAAGAATTTTAGTTAATATTACAGGATATGAAAAAGGCTTTTGATTCTATTAGTTTATTTTTTCTTAATTTAGTACTCTAAAGAATTAAAATTCTTTTGCTTAGAAAGAAATTTTATTAGAGTTTTTTAACAAGAGACAAACAAAAATAATTACTATATTAGATCTAACAGAAATAACAATAGTAGGAAATTGTATAAAAGAAAAGATAATATCACTACTAGTATAGAGAATTTTTTATAATCTATTACTAACAAGAGTACAGAATAATCCTTTACTAGAATATATAGCAAAGGTCTTATAGCAAACAAGTCTAGAAAAAGAAAAAGCAGGGATATAAAAAGTAAACAAGTAGTAATTACTTTTGCAAATAATACAACTTAGATAGCAAGTACAAAAGAACAGTTTGAAAAGATAATTAAGATAGCAAAAAATTTTTTAACTTTAATAATATCTAAATAAATTCTAATAAGTCAAAAGTAGTAATAATGAATACAAAAAGAAAATCTAAAAAAAGAAAAATTATAGTAAAAAAACAAAAAGTTTTCTCTATAAAAAAAAAAAAAATAATTAGATTTTTAGAAATTTGAATAAGAAATAAAGTTAACAAAAAGCAAATTATAGTAAAAGTAAAGCAAATAACAAGATTTTTGCTAATCTAATAAAAAAGAAAATAATATTAGTAAGTCAAGTTTTGTATCATTATTGTTAAGAAAACATTTGTTTCGTTCATTATAGAAACTTAATTTCTAGTTAAAACTAAACTATGATTTGTTGCGAGGAGGTCTTGATTCCAAATAGTTAGGAATTCATTTAGTGCATTTAGGGTCTGGAGTTGTTGTTATTGAGTATTTGGGGTATTCATTTTGAGTTAGTATCAGTAATAGGTATCAAATCAAAGAGTTCTTGAATTTTATTGACTGATTCTGATTTATATGGTAGAAGAATCAGAGCTCTTGCTTTATTAAAACCAGTTCCACTATATAGTTTGCAGTCAATCTAATAAATTTGTTTCCATACTTGTTGACCCTTAGGTCCTTCTCTTTTTCATTTACTCTTGATAGCATAACTGCACCAATTACCCACTACTGCATTGATGAATTTTATTGTAGTATTGAGATCAAGTATTCCTTTGGCCTAAGATTTAAATCTGAAGAGTAATAATGCATCTTGTCAAATTTTAATAATTTTTTCCTTCAATTCTTTGAATACTTTTGCCACATCATCACCTAAGAGAATGTGCTCATCATTTATGCCAGTAAAACCTAATGATTGGAAAAGATTATGAACAGCTTCCTATTGTTTTACTAAATAATATTTATATAAATCGTTTGAGACCAGATCTAAAGAATCTTATGATTCCTCTCATTGTATAGTTTCTTTGAATTTTAAATTTTCTAAAGCTTTTATCACATTAGAACCTTGTCTTTGGAAATAGACAAGTCTTCTAAAATATTGTAAAGGTTCGGAATTGTTAAATATTTTTACAAAATCTATATCATAGAGTTTAACCTAATTAGCATTATCTATGCCTAATCTTGAGAATCATTCTTACTTCCTATGTCACCTAAAGCATAAATTTTCCATAAATAATACTGTTGTAGAATCATATTATCAGTAAAAGAATGTATAAGATTTAGCTTAAGCATTTTAGCTTCATTGAGACTAATATCTAGAAAATTAGCTATTAATTCAGTATCAGCAACTTCGATTTTTTTTGCAACTTTCTTGATTATATTAGATACTTCTACACGAGTAACTTTTGCCAAGCTAGTCTCTTCTATTGTAATTAACTCAAGAGATACTCTGGTACTAGCAATAAGACTACAAAGAATTTCCAAAAAGTATTTAACTGATAAACGTTTCTGATATTCAACCTCTATATAAATCTTTACTGCTAGAGATAAATCAAGTCTATAGCAATCAGAAATTTTATTCCATTCACGATATCCTTTTACTGCTGTTAGTAAATCCTCAGGTTTTAAGGCTAAAAGTTCTGTACAAATAAGGTTATGATTTGGTTCTTTAAAAATACCAAGTTTTTTGCTATTGTAAAGAGAGATAGCATGATATAGACAATTACGAATTCGATAAAGCATTTGTGCAAAAGCTTTAACATGAACTCTTATATTGATATTACTAATTACTATTATTGCATTGAAATGATTAGAAATTTTAAAGGAGATACTAGCTTCTACAATGCTTGTATAAATTACACAATCAAAACTATTTCAGATTACATTAATATTAGCAAAATCCTCTTAATATTGTTTTCTATCTATTTGACTAAAATAAACACATATCAAGATAGGTGAACTGTCAGGTTTTTGCAACTTAGATGCTTGATTAGCTAAAGCTCAAACCTTTTTACAGCTTGTTATAACAAAAGCAACATGCTTACCTTCTTAAATTATTCTAAGACTATTACATATAGCTTCTGAACCTTTATCTAGGTTATAGAGAATTTTAACAGTCTCATCTATGCGTAGTTGATATTTGTTATCAAAAATTCATATATTTTTACCTTGATAAGCTTTGAGAAAGGCTAATATTGACTTGTTTCCAAAAGCATCTATAGCTATAATATGAACAGCAAACTTCAACAAATCTCGCATAGCATTTTCTGATTCTCGAGCATAGATCTCACTAGACATTTGACGCATAATAGTATTCGCTTCATCTAAGATAACTACATAAGAATAACCTCTATAAAGAGAAAAACAGTGTGTACTTTTGATCTGGACGATGATAACATTCTAGTTGTATATAGCTAAATCACCACCATTTTCCTGATAATAGCATATACAAAGTCCTGAATTTTGTAATATTTCAACTTTAGCTTTAGTCTCATTGCTAAGAGTTTTACAATATGAAATCCAGTTAAAGCAAGGTAAATTCGCTTCACTTTTAGCTAAAGAATTAAGAATCTCTCTTAAAGTTTTAGTTTTCCTAAAAGCAACAGGTGAACGAATTAAGGTTGTAGTGAGTTCTTTACTCGAGAAATCCGAATAAGCTTCTGGTGCATCTTTTATCTCTTTAATATTAATATTTTTTCCAGATAAATCTACAAGTAGGCATAGATACTTTACGATATTGATTATTCTTTTACTTAATCTCTATTTAGGTCTTAGTAAATTATTAGTTACTTCGCTAAATATCAATCCCTTGTGATCTAGCTTATATTGTTGTTGCTGAAAATATTTGAGTATAAAACGCTCATCTTTTAGAAGAAATCTGTATAATTGATACCTTTTATGTCTAACTTCACAAATAGGACATTCGTTAGGTAATTGCACTTGAAAGTTAATTAATCTTTTTCTAATTTTTCTGATCTCAAGCTATTCATATTTTGCAATAACCAAATTAGATCCTGTAACTAAAGCATCTTCATCTTCGATAAGTTGAAACTTTTTCTCTGCGGACTTCTCAGAAGAAAAGGTTCATGGCCAGATTACAGAACAATTTGCTTTAGGCTGAACTAAATAATCTTCTAACTTGTAAAATCTATTTTTAGCTGAAGTGATTGCAGGTCTTTTAACTCTGCTTTCTTTTGCTAATCTAAGAAGTCGAAGACTAAAACATAACTTAGGAAGGCTAATATCAATAAACTTCGAGTAAGGTTTTTCTACTAATTCAATGACTTTTTCTGTAAAGCCTTTAAGATCGCTATAATCAATAAATCATGCATAAGGTAAATAATATACTAGCTATATTTATTAATATTTGATGAACTAGCTAAAGCAAAATTATTTAATGAAACTATACATCTCGATATAAGATACAATGCATCTGCACAGGCAATTAATATTCTAGACATCAAATCTTTATGAATAATTTTTTCACTATCTAAAGAAAGAAGTTCTGGATTTGTAGAATCTGATTTTTGCCTTGTATCAATATCTAATATAGGACGAAGGAGCTAGTTCTCATCAATGTATTTATGTGCATCAGATATTTTATAAATTTCAGAAGGATAATCTATTGCTATAAAGCCTTTTCCTGCAACCTGAATTATATATTGAGAATTAATCTCTTCTGGATAATATGCCTCTAAGAGTGCTTTATTCTTTATATTATTTTCTAAAGTAAGTTCACTCCATGCATTAGATGGAAGCAAATATTCAAAATATTTATGTTCTCTATAGCCAGGTTTGTAATTAAAATCAGTTAAACCGAAAAGGAGTTTCTTTGCCTCACCATATTCAGCTAACTTTTGATTCAAACACTGTTGTCGTAATGATTTATAGAGATATTTTTTTGCTTTACTAAATAAACTCATTTTATTGATTTGTATATATGCGTTGTTTGTATATGCATGTTGTTTGATCTGACAAAAAGTATATATTATTAAAACTATATTAATTGGTAGATAAATCTTTAAAATAAAATTAATTATTCCAGAAATTT